ATCATCATCATCATCATCATCATCATCATCATCATCATCATCATCATCATCATCATGATCATCAGCATCATCAGCATCATCATCATCATCATCATCAGCAGCAGCAGCATCATCACCGACATCGTGGCAGGAGGAGGCGGGCAGAGAGCGCGGGGGAGGAGAAGGGGATTGGATGGGGAGGATGAGGGGCACTCACGACACAGGGGAGGTGGAGGGGGTAGCAGGCGGGAGACGGCGGGAGCAGGCGGAGCAAACGGGAGGAGGCGGCAGGAGGGTGGCAGGGGGTGGCAGAGGGCGATAGGAGACGACGGGGGGCGAGGAGGAGGAAGCATGGCTCGAGGTAAACAGCGTCTTTCATTCCCGTTGTGTTGTTGGGTTCCTTCGCTCTGTCTTGGGTCTGCCTCTGTGGCGAAGCGAGATCAAAACGAAAACGGCCCACGAAATCGCTTGGGCGCCGTTCGGCTCGGGCCCCGGGAGGAAGGCCGAGGCGGAGGCAAGGCGAGGAAGACGGAGCCGGAGGCAGGGGCACGCACGCGGCGAAGACTTCGGAGTGGGCAGGGGGGGGGGCTTCTGAGAAGGCAGGAGTCGTGCGTCCACTCGTGAACTGAACTGCGCGTCCGATGCACGCCGAAGAGGACGTGAATCCCCCCCCTCCGAGCTCCTCCTCCTCCTCCTCCTCCTCCTCCTCCTCCTCCTCCGACCTCCTCCTCCTCCTCCTCCTCCTCCTCCCCCTCCTCCTCCTCCTCCTCCCCCTCCTCCTGCCCCGAGGGGGTCCCTCCCGTAGGGGAGGGGTCGGGACCCTAGGGTCCTCCTGGCGCAGGCGGGGAGCGCCGGGCCCGAGGGGCGAAAAGCCCCCGCTCCCCGGGGGACGCCGCCAAAGTGCTGTTTCCTTCCCCCGGGGGGGTCGCCAGGTCCCGTGGCCTCCCCCAGGGCGGTGCTGGTTCCCCCCAGCGCTCGCCGCCCTGGGGCGAGACCGGCGGCTCGTCTCTGTCGTGTCGTTCGTCCGTGTCGTGTCGTTCGTGTCGCGTCGTTCGTTTCGTCCCCCTGTCGTGTCGCGTCGTGTCGTGTCGTGGCGGGTCTGGGCCCCTGGGGTGGGTGGCGTGGGTTTGGCTTGGTCTGGCCCCCCCCCGTTCTGTCGGCTGCCGGGTGTTTCCGGCTGGGCCGTTTCCGGCCGACAGAACGTGGGGGGGGAGCTGGCCAGCTATTCCCATGCTGCCCGCTTGCGGGGGGCCCGCGGCGCCGTGCGCCACCCGCGCCGTGAGCGCCCCGCGGCCGGCCGCGCGCCCGCGCGCGGGCGCCCGCCGGCCGCGGGGGCGCGCGGCTTTAGTGCTGTGCACTCCCCCTTTCGAGGGCATTCCAATCCAATCCAATCCTCCCCCTCCTCCTCCTCCTCCTCCCCTCTGCGCGTGGCCACCCGAGGGTGGTCCCATGGGTACAGACGTGCTCCCGCCCGCGACCGCCCCACCCCGCCCCGGGAGCGCGGGAAAAGCCAAGGCCTTGATCATCTTGACGTGGGCGTTCTGCACGCGCGAGCAGCGCACCCCGTGCAGGCGGCCACGTGGGACGCCTCCGGGAGACATTAGGGGGCCACATGCGAACCCTGCCCCTGCCCCCCACGATTTCTGTGGGGGAGGTGGGGTTCACTTCGCTCGGGAGCTCCCGAGCGAAGTGAACCCCACCCCTGCCCCTCAGAAATGGTGGGGGGGTAGGGTTAGGGTTCGCATGTGGCCCCCTAGACATAGCAGGCTGGAGGGGGGGCGACCGGAGGAGGAGGAGGAGGAGGAGGAGGAGGACTTGGGGTGGGATCCTGGAGGAGGAGCAGGACCTGGTCGACTGGGGGGGAGTTGGTGTCACCGTGCTCTTTCTTGCCATCACCGCAATACTTACACTCTCGCCCTCGCGGGCTTCTCCACTGGTCTGTTTTGCTTCGCAACTGATGCGCGGCTTCGTTTACACGAAGGTAACAAAACTCTGTTTCTGATGTGATCACACGCTCTATGACTTTCAAACGCTGCGAGCTCCGCCGCTCAAAGTCTGGCCAGCGCAAAAGTAGAGGTGGACTCGAGGACTCGAGGACTCGAGGGCGAGGGCGCGGATCCCGAAGACCTGACTGCGGGGCCTCACCAGGACCCCGTCCAGAGCCGAGGCGAAACCCACTGCGCGAAGATTAGCAGCAAAGTGCCGCAGCCGCCGGAGTCGAATACGAGTCGCATGCCGTCCAGGGTTCCCCGATTCCATGTAGGGCACGAACGACGATGGAGTCCAGCGCGAGGAGGAGGAGGAGGAGGAGGAGGAGGAGGAGGAGCTCCACAGACGCGGCGATCGCTTGATCAGTGTCGGTGTAAAGTGAAAGCAGGAGCTCCGCTGCATACCCTGGCCCCCCTGGTCTCCAGTCCGGGGACGTGGCCAGGTTCCACCACAGTGCTCCGCGCCAGCTGCAGGCAGCGAAGGCTACAAGGCCCTGATGCGCTTCGGTCTCGAGGAGGATCGATCGATCGAGCTGACGGGCCGAGTTCGCGGCTGCTTATTCGCGTCGACGACTTCGAAGAGGAGGCGGAGGAGGACGAGGGAGACGGGCGGGGGGGAAACAGCTGAGGGAACTGGAGGGGCAAGCAGAGGAGAGGGGTCGCAGGGAGCAGGGAGCATCTAGGACCAGGAGCAGGGGCCTGACTACATCTTCCAGGCTCGCTCGTCCGAGCCAGCTGCCACGGAACAAATGAGCAGCACACCCACCGCTGACCCCGTGCACACGCGGCTGGCCCTGCTCGTGTATGCAGGCCGCACCCCGCTGCGCGCCCCGCGAGCGTTGCTTGGGGCATACGTGCAGGCTGTCTGCACTCGACCTGCATCAGACCCGCGCACCATGTGCCAGATGCACTCGTGCCAGACACATGGTCGACACCACCACCTCTGCGCACGTATGTCTACATGCGAAGGCTCCGCTGGCCGCATCGTTCATACCCGCCTCTGGCGCCCACACGCGCGAAAACAAGTACCAACGATGCACGTTTCAGAAACATGTTCGACATCGCCCCCTCCGCGCCGCCAGACGCATCTTCGACATCCCCCCTTGGCGCCTGCGCACGCACGTGAAAACGCAAGCCAAATGAACACGCACCGCATATTCGGTACCACCCCTCCGCATACAAATTCTGCGTGTGAAGAATCCGCTGGCCACATGCTCGACACCTCCCCTGGCGCCGAAACCTGGGAAAGCACGCGCCAAATACACGCATGCCAGACGCATGGTCGACACCACCCAAGACGCGCACTCATCCGTACGCGCGAAGAGCCTGGACAGCCGCAGAGTCTGCACCACTGTTGGCGCGTGGACATGTAGAATCACATGCCAAATGCGCGCGTGTCAGCTGCACGTTTGACAACGCCCAAGACGCGGACGCATTTGTACGTGAAGATTACGGACAGCAGCATGTTGAGCATATTCCTTGACGCTTGCACAGGCTTAAACACGTGCCGAATGTACACTTGCCAGACGCGTGTTTGACACCACTCGCTCCGCGCATGCACTTACCCGCGTGAAGGATCCAGCGGCCGCATCTTCGGCGCCCCCCTTGGCGTCTACACACGTAAGAGCACAGGCCGAACTTACACGTCCCAAACGCATGTTTAACACCACCTCCTCCGCGCACGCACTTGTACATATGAAGGCTCCGCCAGCCGTATCTTCGACATCACCCCTCGGCGTCTACAAACATGAAATCACGTGCCAAATGTACGCCGAGGCGCAGTTTGGATACGCCCCTTTGGCGCCTCCTCCACCCCTCGCGCACGTAGTCCTACGAGCGAAAATAATCCGACGCACCCTGCTCTACACCCCTCTGGTCGAGGGCCACAGGCCCGACGGACAAAAAGGACCCTGGGCTGGAGCCCACACGAGGAATATATATTTATCTATATATATATATATACAGGGGGCGTCCAAGAGGGGGGCGTCCAAGAGGGGGACGGAGCAAATCATGGCCCACAGCACGTGCGCGGTCCAGGCGGGGGCCAAGGGACGCATCGAAATAAGAAGAGGTAGCCATGAGATCCGGGAAGATTTCACGGCCCCGGCCACGATATCCATCCCCTCTAGCCATGACCTTCCCTTGGACGTCTCCCAGATCTGCCGACGCTGCTGCTCCCCAGACCTCTCCTGGGGCGCGCCCCGACCAGGATCCCAGGCGAATCTGTCCAGGACGTTGAGCAACTTTACGTCGCAACGCGGCAGAGGCAGTCCGCACGCGCGCTCGAGCGGGCCGGGAGACGGCAGGCGCGCGTCGTCCAGCAGCGAGAGGGGGGGGGGGGGGGGAGAAGGGCACGGCGGGCGGCCGCGGGAGGGAACGTGGAACATGAAGGGGCCCCAGGACACACAAATAAATACACACTTAAATATATATATATATATATATATATATATTCTGGGTTTCTGTCTGCCCCCCCCCCCCACTTCCCATATTTTCCTATATTTTCTAAGGAATCGAGGATTAATTGTGTCTGTGTGTTTCTTTTCCTCCTGAGAACAGACGCGTCAACGAGGGAGGGGCAAAGGGGGAACAGCGGGGCCGCCATCGTGCTGCCACCAGGCACGCCGAGCAGGGGAGCCGAGGGCTCCCCTGGCCGCGGCGAGCCTCGGCCACGGACGGGCTCTCCCCGACCTGGACCTGCGGCACGGCCCGACGACCAGAGACCCTCCTGAGCCCAGAGCCGTCCTTCATTCGGCGTCGTGACCGCACCCTCTGCAGTCGGACTTAACTAGTTGGACAGGACACGCGAGAGGACACGAGACCCTTCCGAGGGCCACACTGCCACAGGAATGTGAGGCGCAGGGCGTGCGGGACACAGGACACAAGAGTACCCTTGATTCGGCAGGGCCGACCTACTAATCCGGGCCGACTGTAATTACCACGCTGACCGAGCGCGCGCCTCCGCGGCCCGATCCCACCGCCCGGCAGATCAACCACCGACGGGGCGGGCCGCGAGTCTTCTCCGCGGCGCCCCTACTGCGCCGAGTCCCACGGGGAGACCTGCTGCCTCGCGCCGCCGAGGGGCTCCGCGAAGAAGCGGCTGACCAGTGGCCGGCCCGCCGTCGCGCCCTGCCCCAGCCTGGGGGAACCACGCGGTGGTGACCGACACCGCCGCTCCCCGGACCCCTGCCGGGGTGCGTTCCTGACCAGAGCAACTTCGAGGCGAGTCCAGCGGGGGCGACGAGTGCCTCGCAGGAGGCCCAAGAGTGGGGAAAGCGAGGGGAGGTGGCGGTGTCGGTACCCTTTTCCTCGCTGACGACCACTCGAACAGGTCCACTGGCTGGCCGCCCCCGCGGCTGCGGGCGCGGCGCAGGTGGCGCAGGCCGCAGCCGTGCCGCAGGCCGTCCGCGGCGTCATTGATCAGGACGTGGGTGCCGGCCCTCAGGCCGCTCGCGGGCAGCAGGCCCAGCACCACGTCCCTCGCCATGTCCGGGGGCAGGTACCTGGACCAAATGTTGAAGGGGCCAAGGAGCACGCAAATGAGTAGACACAAATCCCAGGGTTCCCCATCTTGTCCCATATTTCCTGGGGGTGTGTCTCCCCCGCCACTTCCCACAGGTCCTGGGAATCGGCGATGACGTGTGTCTGGACGTTGTTGCCCCTCCTGAACTAGATCGAGGAACAAAGAGCGGCATAAACATGAACGTCTAAAGCTCCGCGCAGAGCTCCGATAGTTCATGGTCGTGCCATTTTTTTGGTTCCTCGCCTACAGGACGAGAGTGATGTCATGATGCGTTTGGCTCAGGATGCGTTCCAGGATTTCCAAAGAGTATATAGTGGCCCTCGTTTCTGCAGCCCGTGTGGGGCATCAGGAAATCTTGGGACTTCTGAGCCTATGGGTAATCCTGCGACGCATCATTCAAGATACCGCTCGCACTTCTCGGCGGCGAGCCCAGGGGAAGTGAGAAGGGGCGGGCCTTCTCAGAAGGCTCGGAAGTCCCCTGGCCTTCTGAGAAGTCTTCTAAGCCTTCCCCAAAGACATCATAAAAAACCTCCCAGAAGGCGCGAGGGCTTCTGAGAAGACCCGCCGCCTTCTGAGAAGGCCGTCTCCTCCTCATTTCCCCCCACACACGCTCGCCGCCGATCTGATTGGCATCCGACACTTGGTTATTGCTGTCTTTCTGTTATGCTTATCATTACTATTATTCGTAATTTTATGATTACTATTATCATCATTCGTCTTATTATTACTCTTATTATTGTAATTATCATTATTCTTATTCTTCTTATTATTATCAGTATTATTATTACCGATATTATTATTCTTATTATTATTATTCCACGCATGGGAGGTCCCGCCCCCTTCCCCAGGGCTAACTTGTCGGCCCGGACCTGGTCTTTGACGGGTCTGGGGCCCGATCACGGGCCGGGGAGGCCGAGATCATGGTGAAACGGCGGGATTGAAAGCCTCCTCCTCCTCCTCCTCCTCATTATCATCCTCCTCCTCCTCCTCCTCCTCCTCCTCCTCCTCCTCCTCCTCCTCCTCCCCCTCCTCCTCCTCCTCCTCAACGTTCGGGTCATGTTTCGGGACTCCGGCGGCCGGTCGGGGCGATCCAAGCACCCCCGGAAGGCTCACGACGAGGCGCAGCCGCCGAGAAGCGTCACGAGGCTGGCAAACCTCTGGGAACCGACACAATGTTGTCATCTCTTGGGGGCGCATAGCTTACTTCCGCCACCTCCCGCCTGCGGAGGCGGCCCCGTTTTACTTCCGCCGCCGTCCGCCAACCTTCCGCCGCCTTCCGCCGAGGAAGAGATGCCAACTCATTCGATCCTCGAAGGCGAGGCCATTTATGGGCGTAGATGCCTCCCGGATGTGGTCCGAGTAGGTGGGTCGGGGGCTCGCGCCGCATCGCCGATACATCGCCGATACATTGCCGATGCATCGGCGATGCATCGGCGATGCATTGGCGACATCAGCGATACATCGGCGACGCCGGCGTGGAGAACATCGCGCCCCACATCGATCCGCATCGGCGATGCATCGGCGAGACGGCGCGATCCTCCGACCATAGATGCTTCGACCCCATGTGGGAGGCCTAGAGCGCGACGGGCACATGAACACGGTGTCTCTCAGCGCCCCTCAAACGGGGACTCCACTAACGGGTACTTTGGCCAGTGACCCAGCGAACCCAACCCTTCCCGATGTGGGCAAAGCTGCAATGCAAGAAAAAGGCCCTAAAGTGGCAACTTTCGGCAAAAAATCAAAGTACCCGTTAGTAAGTACCCGTTACGGTGCCGTTGAGTCTCATGACGCCGCACATGACCGGTCTCACGCGAGATGGCATCGCGACTGTACGCCGCAGCTTGCGCGGGGCGCCAGCCTGGCGCACCGCGCGGAGGAGAGGGCGCCCACGCGCGAACCTGCGCGGGCAGCCTACCGCGCGAACGTCCACGCCGTGGACCCCGCTTTTCTTCGTCGCCCGGCGACGCATCGGCGACATCGGCGAGCGACGTCGCCGTGGAGAACATCGGACTCCACTTCGAGCCGCATCAGCGAGGTATCGGCGATGCGGCGCGATCCTCCGACTCTACCTCCTTCGACTCCACCTGGGAGGCCTAGAGTGGAAGGGAAGGAAACGGGGACCATGACCACGACTTCACGCAGAAGCGTCGTGTCGATCTTGGTCACCGTCCATCTTGGTCAGCGCCATTATGTGGATCATCCTCGCGAATCGGCGACGGCCGGCATGGACAATGACCAAGATCGCATCGACAAGATCCCGCGGCGTCTTGGCCACGGTCCCCGTGTGTCTTCCCTCGATACGAGCGCGAGAGGCACATGGGCGACGATCAAAGACGGGTCTTACGCGAGATGACGTAGCGACCTTGCGCTGTGGTTTACGTGGGCCGCCAGCACGGCACGCTACACCGGACACGGGCGCTTGCGCGGGCAGCTCACGCGCCAACGTCGGCGAAGACGGCCCGGTTTTCTCGGCGGCGAGCCCGGGGGGAAGTGAGAAGGGGCGGGCCTTCTCAGAAGGCTCGGAAGTCCCCTGGCCTTCTGAGAAGTCTTCCAAGCCTTCCCCGAAGACATCAGAAAAAAAAACTCTCAGAGGGCGCGGGGGCTTCAGAGAAGTCCCGCCACCTTCTGAGAAGGCCTCCTCCTCCTCACTTCCCCCAATTCCTCCCCGCCCCCCTCGCTCGCCGCCGATTCTTGCTGCCTCGCTCACAGGAACACGATGTCCGCCTCCGCCAGGCGCACGTCGGCCATGTCGGCGCACAGGAAGCGCGCCCCGCCGCCGCGCGCGGGCGGCAGCCCCCCCGCGGCGGCGCGGGCCTGCGCCACGGCGCCGGGCAGCACGTCCACCCCGACGCCCCGGCAGCCGAACCTCAGGAGGAGGCTTCTGGCGCGGCGCTCACGCCGCGCGAGGGCCTGGGGCGATCGCAGAGCTGGAGCAGAGACCACCGAAACTCCCAGGCGGCCCCTCGGGAGAGGGAGCTGTAATTAGAAGCCGCCCTCGCACGGACGTCCCCTCCCCGTGCCCTTCTCGGCTTCGCGCGCGTGCCTTTCTCCCTGGATGACCCGGAAAGGCTCCTCGATGGCCCTGGCCGAAAAAAAGCACACGCCCAGGCGATGCCAAGAGAAGGGCTTCAGAGAGAAGAAGCCCGCAGGCAGGGCCAGGTCCGCCTCTGGCTTCCTCTCCACGGCTGCGGGGCAGGGCGTCCCCGCGGCAGGCTGCTGGAGAGGGGGAGGAGGAGGAGGAGGAGGAGGAGGAGGAGGAGGAGGAGGAGGAGGAGGAGGAGGAGGAGGAGGAGGAGGAGGAGGGAGGAGGAGGGAGGAGGAGGAGGAGGAGGAGGAGGAGGAGGAGGAGGAGGAGGGAGGAGGAGGAGGAGGAGGAGGAGGAGAGGAGGAGGAGGAGGAAGAGGGGAAGGAGGAGGAGGAGGAGGAGGAGGAGGAGGAGGAAGAGAGGGAGGAGGAGGAGAAGGAGAAGGGGAGGAGGAGGAGGAGGAGAAGAGGACTTGCAGCGTGCCCCGGAGACGCTTTCCTGCGAATGGGGCCCAGGGGCACGCAAGGGAATAGACATACTTTTTTGTTGCCAGCCGCAGGCGAGCGCGCCGACGGCGTGGCAAGGTCCCAGCGGGCCGCGCAAGGGCCTGAATTACCTAGCAAGAGCAGGGGCGGGAATAGACATACGGGAACGAAGAAAAAAACTCGGAGGTCCGCGCGGAGGTCTTGGATTCGCGCTGACCCCCCTCCCTGGCGCGCGGAGCGCGCCAGGTGCAGCGCCGGAGGCGCCGCCAGGGGGGTCCAGCGCGGATACGAGAAATCCGCGCGGGCCTCCGAGTTTTTATGTTTATGTCATTCTTCTTTCCCCTAGAATGGGGCCCAGGGGCACAAAATGAATAGACACGAATCCCAGGATTCCCCACAAGTTGCCCTCCTGGCCCTGCTCGCTCCCAATACTTCTGCGTGTGCCGCTGGCGTGTTTTCAGAGCTCCTGGGCAGCGCCACGGAGCCGGTCAGAACGTCTGCAGCCCGCGAGGGGGGCAGGGGGCATGCGCCCTCCCTCGCCCCTCCTCCTCTTCCTCCCCTCCCCCTCTCCTGCTCGGCGGCGAGCGAGGGGGGCAGGCGCTATCATTCCTTATGTGTTGCCATGTTTTACGAGCGACGGGGGGGAATGAGAAGGAGAAGGCCTCCTCAGAAGGTCCGGAAGTCCCCCGGCCTCCAGAGGAGTATTTTCTCCGAGCCTGCCCCGAAGGCACGAGAGAAGGCACCTCCGGCAAGCGCGCGAAGGCTTCCGAGGAGCCCTGCCGCCCTCGGAGAGGGCCTCCTCCTCCTCGCTCCCCCCCCTCGCTCACCGCCGACCTTCCCCCCTCCCCCCTCCCCCCCCCCGCTTAATACGAAACCAGGACGAGGAGAAAGTCAGGTGCGGATCAGTCGAGAATCTCTGGGACCCTGCGGCTCCGGAGGACAGCCGACATATGATCGCGTCGTAAAAAAATCAGGACGGGAGGCCTCTGCCATTTTCGGCCTCAGGGGGCCCTCGCCGGGCCTCGGGACCGTCAAAAAACGGCTCAGGATGAAAAACCGGTCCCGGGGAAGGGGTCGGGAATTCCAGGGACCCCGCATTTAAAAAATCACGACGTCGCATGTCTGGGAAGCCAGGACGAGGACAAATTCGGGTGAGGGTAAATCGAGAATCTTTGAGAGCCTGCGGCTCTGGCAGACGTCTCGGGCGCCGCGGCCTTCTCAGAGCGTTCCGGAACGCTCCGAGAGCGTTTCCGAACGCTCTGGAATGGATTCATCCTCGTCCTAGTCCCGTCCGACCTTCCCCCCCTGCTCTGGCCCACGGGTGGCCGAGGCGCGCCCAGAGGGTGCGGTGACGTTGATCTTCGTCGCCACCGCGCTGGTTCTTCTGTCGGCTGTGCCGGGGGCCGCGGCCCGCGGGCTTTTCATGTCCGAGGACACCACGGGTCCAGACTTACGTCGGGCATGTCCCTCTTCAGGGCGAATACAAGAATAGTTAATTATCCCGGCAAAGCAACCTAACAGCGATGTGTAGAAGCATATCTGAAAGCATTCCCCTTAAGATTCAGATGAAAATCCAGTTGCCGAATTCTGCTGTTCTCGCAGTCGTAGTCGCATTCGCGATGACAGTCGCAGCGGCAACGGCAGTCGCAGTCACAGCCTCAGCCTCAGCCTGCCTCAGCCTCAGCCTCAGCCTGCCTCAGCCTCAGCCTGCCTCAGCCTCAGCCTCAGCCTGCTTCAGCCTCAGCCTCAGTCTGCCTTCAGCCTCGGCCTCAGCCTCAGCCTGCCTCAGCCTCAGCCTGCATCAGCCTCAGCCTCAGCCTCAGCCTGCCTCAGCATCAGCCTGCTTCAGCCTCAGCCTCAGCCTGCCTCAGCCTCAGCCTCAGTCTGCTTCAGCCTCAGCCTCAGTCTGCCTTCAGCCTCGGCCTCAGCCTCAGCCTGCCTCAGCCTCAGCCTGCCTCGGCCGCAGCATCAGCCTGCCTCAGCATTCAAAATGTGGCCCAGGAATGGAGTTCTGGGAACTAGAAGAACACGAAGTGGCCTACAGTTGGCTCCGGGCATTCAAAATCATGCCCAGGAATGGAGTTCTGGGAACTCTGGCCTTGGCTCCGGGCATCCAAAATGTGGCCCGGGAATGGAGTTCTGGGAGCACCAAGAGCGATTTTGCGAGGATGTCCCAAGCGATTTCGGCTTCGGCGGCGGCAGCCTCCCCGGGTCCCGCCCAGACCCCCCTGAGGAGTCATCTGCTGCTCTCTTTTGAGTCCACTAGAAACCTATCAGCAAAAGCTGTTAGGTAAAAATAGTCGAATGACGCTTTTCCGTGCTCTTTTGACACTTTTTGATGTTTTACTTTTCTTACACTCCAGACCTGCGGGCCTTCCTCTCTGCTTTCCTGCACGGCCACGCGTGGTGAGAGGTTGGTTGTAGGTATTCGCAAGAGCGGTTACCCGGATCTCCGCAAATATGATGTGTTCAAGCCGAGCGTTGTTCCTCGAGTTCGGCCTCCCGGGCCCGTCATCAGGCCCCGGAGACGTCGAACATGGATCCAGGACGAAAAGCTGGCAATTCTGGAGCCGCGGATTGAAACCAGAGGATGTCTAGGTATAAAGGGCCACTAAGCTGGACTAGCCCAGAGTAGGCCCAGGATTGAACCAGATCAGGCCGGAATAGTCGGAGATGAGCGGGGTTAACTATGCCAGATCAGGCGGGTCCCTCGACCACGGATACACCACAGCCGATGCTGCATCTAATCTCCCCAGAGTTGCACTAGGGCGACAATGATGTCATGATAGGCTTGGCTCAGGATACGTTTCGGGATTTCCAGAATATCTAGCGGCCCTCGTTTATGCAACCCCCGTGGAACGTGAGGAAATCAGGGGAAGATTAAAAATCCTGGCACGTATCATTATCATGACCTCTTGCTCCTCTTGAGCAAAAACCGACCACCCTCGCATTCTTACGGCCCTACTACGACATTTTCGTAGAACAAGCGAACGTTCTAAGAACCAAACACAAGTTTCTTATAGCATGCAGCCGATGAGTCAAAACAAGACCGTCTCAGCCAGAAAGGTCCTAGGAGCATGCCGCGGAAACCAGAAAGAGCTCTCTGGACACTCTCCTGGTGGGACTGTGGGCGAGCCCGGACGCTTCGCCACTGCTTGCTCCCCCGAGTTGCATCCCAGCGAACCTCTGCACCACCGCGCACACCACGCAGCCGTCGCCGCAGCCCAGGTCCACGAACAGGGCGCCGCCGCCGCTCGGCGCGGCGGCGTCGCCGAGCGGCGTGCCGGCGCGCAGGAGCTCCAGCGCTGCCTCGATCGCATCTGGCTGGCGGCGCGCACGGGGGCGCCCTCCCACAGGGCGGCGGCGCGAGGGCGCGAAGATACACCGCGCGTCGCGCATCCTGGGGATGCAACTGCGCGAGGTTGGGCGGCCCGGGTCTTGGGGCTCCAGCGCTGCCTCGATCGCCGCCGGCTGGCGGCGCGCACGAGTCGGCCACACGCAAGAGAGGCCCTGGGCAAGAGCGACCTCTGGTGCGCGGCGTTCGGGGGCCGCGATGGGGCCAAATCCAAGCGTGTTGGCCGATGCCGGGGGGACCCCTGGACGCCTCGGGGATCTACTGACCCGGATCCTGGCACGCTAACCCGGGTCAGTGCACCCCTGGCTCTGCAGGCTCCTGCAATAGAGGCCTCCTGCATGGGGTCCGAGTAGATGGGGTCCAAGGGCCGCGCCGCATCGCCAAAGCATCGCCGATGCATCGGCGATGCATCGGCGACGTCGGCGTGGGGAAACCCGGTCTCCACATCGAGCCGCATCGTCGATATACATCGACGATGCGGCGCGATCCTCCGACCCCACCTGCTCGGACTCCATCTAGGAGGCCTACATAGATGCAAGAGAGCCGGCGCTCTGGCTCGACCCCCGCGTGCGCCTGACCCCCGCCCCCCGAGCCCCGAGGGAGCCCCCCTCCTTGCGCGCCGCCAGGGCTGGCGCGGTGGCCTCCGAGCCGGACAGCGCGCTCTCCCGGGGCGGCGGAGATCTGCACGCGTCCGCCGCCCAGTTTTAGATCGCGCCAGGTCGTAGACCTGGGCACGAACCCAAAATCTAAAAACAAATCTGACGATTTTTGAGCGCCAAAAAATCTCAAACCAAATCTCTGGAACCCCTCCAGGTCTAAGTTGACGCGATCTAAGCCCAGTTTGCCGGGCCCATCCTGGAGGCCTCCCATGGGACGCGCAGAGACAGACTTAAAAGAAGAGCAAGCGCCATAAGCATAAACTCTTGGCGCTCCGCGCGGAAATCTTGGATCCGCGCCGGGTCCCCTGGCGCCGCCTCCGGGGCCGCCCCAGGTGCGCTCCGCGCGCCAGGGCGGGGGGTCCAGCGCAGATCCGAGAAATCCGCGCGGAGTGCCACAAGTGTATGTTTGTGGCGTTTGTTCTTCGTCGGATATTAATACTAGATGTCCTCCTCGGAGGCGTACGTCCGACCCGAACACGTAGTATGACCATCTGGTAGCTTATCGCTTCCCGAGCGGTACGGCCAGAAAGCGCCCGCCATGACGCATACACTACAAGATTTCTTGGTACGCACGTCGCCCCTGGGGGGGCGACGCACACATAGTATCAGTATGTTGGGGTGCCGCCGATCCCAAATGTGCGACGATAAGAAACGGGTCTTGCGCGAGGTGAGTCAGCGACCTTCCGCGGTGGCTTGCGCGGGCCGCTGGCGAGGCACGCCACATTGGAGACGAGGGCGCTTACGCGCGACCTTTCGCGGGAAGTTTACGCGCCACTGTCGGTGCAGTTGGACCCTTTTTTTTCTCGGATCGCGCGGCATCGTCGATGCATCACCGATCACGTGTCCGTCGCCCCCTGCCAGGCCCATCCTGGAGGCCTCCCAGATGGATTCGGAGCAGGTGGGGTCGGGGGATCGCGCCGCATAGTCGATGCATCGCCGATCGTGTGTCCCCCGGCACTTGCCAGGCCCATCCTGGAGGCCTCCCAGATGGGTTCGGAGCAGGTGGGGTCGGGGCATCACGCCGCATCGTCGATGCATAACCAATGCATCGGCGGTGCATCGGCGGCGTCGGCAATGTATCAGTCACGTCGGCGTGGAGAAAGTCGGGCTCCATATCGAACCGCATCGTCGATGCATCGACGATGCGGCGCGGTCATCCGACCCAATCTACTCCGACCCCATCTGGGAGGCGTAGTATCCTGGGCCCAGGATCGGCGTTTATGCCTCCACTGCTAGGCCCAGAGGGGCACACACATCGCTCAGCCCTGAGATCCGACGTCAGGAAAAAAAATAACATCGCGAACATCACGACTGGAGCCCTAGACCGCATCTGTGTCTCTCTCCGCGCCGGATCCCTGAAGGTCCCAGGGCCCGGAGCCAGGTGAAAACGGACGCTGTCAAAAATTGCACTGCCTGGTTGCATCGGAGGGAGAATGGGCCTGGCCAGGGCAGTGGCTATGTATACGGCCGGGAACGTCTGCTAGCGTGTCGGGGCGGCGCCCTGGCGACACGCTACGCCTAGCGAGCGGATGGCGTGTCGCTCCGCTCCGCGGGGCGGGAGGCTGGGGAGAGCTCAGGACGTTGACGCTTCTGAATGTGGGCTTCGATAGCGTGTCGAGCCGAAGCGCGGTGGGCCTTCATCTGTCCTCCTCCTCCTCCTCCTCCTCCTCCTCCTCCTCCTCCTCCTCCTCCTCCCTCCTCCTCCTCCTCCTCCTCCTCCTCCTCCCTCCTCCTCCCCTCCGCCTCCGCCTCCGCCTCCGCCTCCGCCTCCTCCTCTCCTCCTCCTAATCCTCCTTCCCTCCTCCTCCTCCTCCTCCTCCTCCTCCTCCTCCTCCTCCTCTCCTCCTCCTCCTCCTCTCCTCCTCCTCCCTCCCCCTCCGCCTCCGCCCCCTCCCCCTCCCCCTCCCCTCCCCCTCCTCCTCCTCCTCCTCCTCCTCCTCCTCCTCCTCCCCCTCCTCCTCCTAGGTGTTGTGGTCCGAGGCAACCATTTTGGCAATTGCCCGATCGACCACGACCCCAGCCCCGTCCGAGGGGCGCATCAGACGGACGAGCGAGCAGCCGCGATCTCGCTCGCCCGCGTGGCACAGGCGCGCGCGTCGGCACAGGGCCACTGCCCGAGTTGCCCTCCGCCTGGCGGTGCACGCACATCGGCTTCGTGTGCATCACGGCAGTGCTGTCCCAGGCATGGGCAAGGGTGGTGACAAGAGTCAGTCCGAGCTGTACACCAGGTGCCAGAAGTGCGGTGCGTGTGAGTGGAATTCGCTGCTGCTTCAACGTGATCGTCGCTGCAAGTGCGGGGTCCAGTTGGCTTTGCATAAGCCCAAGAAGGGCGGGGGGAAGGGACAGGCTCCAGACTTGTCTCTTTCGCTCAACCCTAGCGCTGCCCCGAGTGACATTCTGTTGAAGGCGCTTGAGGTCACGACCAACCCGCACCTGAAGGCGGCCCCGCAGGCAGAGGCGCAGCAGGTGCAGGCCGCGGCCGCGGCGAAGCCTGCCACCGCACTCTCGACAGGAGAGGCGCATAGGAGGGCTGAAGCTGCATGGCGCGAGGCCAACAGGCGACATGATCAGGCATCGGACGCGGTTCGGAAGGCCAAGGAGCAGTTGCAGCGAGCGGTGGAGCGTGAAGAGGAGACGGTCAAGCAGCTGGCGGAGGCGGAGATCGCCAAGCGGATTGCGGTGCGAGCCCTGGCTGCGGAGGCGGGGCTCACGGCGCCGCTGGCAGGTGGCGGCCACGCGTCCGCAGGAGGCACCGCGGCCGCTGGTGCGGCCGCGGCCAGTGCAGGCTCCAAGGGGATGCAGTTCGACGTCTCGTGGGACGAGGGCTTCTTTGCCTCGCTTCGCAGTGGCGAGTTCGAGTGCGAGGAGGGCGAGAAGGCCGAGCTGCTCAAGCTCGAGGAGGAGCTGATCAAGGCGCGGTCCCTCATTGGCGACCGAGGCGAGCAGGTCTTGGCATGGAAGATCAAGATGGAGAAGTTGCAGGCATCGGTGAAGGAGCGCATGGCGAAGAAGCGCAAGGGCGAGGACGGCGCCATGCACCAGGGCGGAGCAGGTGACGCCGCAGCCCCGCCAGCCGAGGCGCCTACCCCAGTGTCGGGTGGCCCCGCGGCCGAGAAGGTGGAGGTCGACGCCGACGCCGAGGCGAGGATCGCGCAGGAGGTGGAGCGGACCCGTGCAGCCAAGGCGGCGGCGACTTCGGCAGCTGCGAGCTCGGCGGCGGCGGCTGCGGCGGCTGCGGCCAAGGCGGCTGGCAAGGGCGAGGCGGGCGCGTCGCCCACCAAGGACGGGAAGGCCTGAGAGCGGGCGGAGGATCGCCCCAGGGGTGATCCAGGGGCCATGTGCCCGCATCCGCTCCTCATCTCAGTGCCTCTTCCCCGTCAGCTGCTGGGTCTACCTCTTCGGCGTCGTCTTCGGCAGGCAGTTCTGCGGCTACGACGACGAGGGCGGCTACGTCGGCAGTCTCTCCCTCTGTGTCCTCGGCTGGGGCTGAGGCTCTAGATTCAGTTTCACAGTCGCAAGCAGACATGCAGTCCAATGATATCGTGCAAGTTTTCTTCAGCAACATCACGATGCTAGGTAACAAGTCCTGGGGGGTACCTGGCTGAGATGGCAAAATCACGTTCGATTCAATACTTCGCCTTGTGTGAGACCCACGTCCCGACAGCTGGGGTGTCGAAGTGGGTCAAGAAGGCCAGGGCAGCACACCTCCGATGTTATGCGAACGCCGCTCGTCCTACTGGCCGCCAGTGTTTGACATCGACGGGACAGGCTAAAGCGAATGAGGGGGGTGAGATGTTCTTGGTTGAGGGGCACAGGCAAGCTCATCCTTTAGCACATGGCAAGCTAGGTGCACTATGTGAGTCAGGCCAGTCTATGCTAGATGGTTTTCTGCCCATGGTTGTACATTTGCAGGGCTTTAGTATTGTCATTATCACGTTTTATAGTAGATGTGGGTTGAAGTTTTCTGGTCTGAATCTTGGGCGATTCGCTAGACTAGGCTCGTTACTTCAAGCTTTGCAGTTGCCCTGGGTTGTCCTGGGGGATTTTAACCAGTCTCCGATCGAGCTCCAGCGTTCGGGGTGGGTCTCTCGGCTCGGGGCGTCAGTACTGCAGGCCCCTGTCGAATACACGTGCGTCAGCTCTAGTGGATCCACGCACATCGATTTTGCGGTCGCTTCTGCGTCGGCAGTGCCGTACATTGCTGGCCTCAGCGCGATCGAAGATGTTCCGTGGCGTCCGCACTGTGCTCTTTTGCTCCAGCTGCGTGGCTCGGGAAAGCAGTTGATCACTCGGTCTCCCATACTTCCCGAGCGCTTCGCGCAAGTCTCGAGGCCTCAGAAGCAGGCGGCGGAAGGGGTCAAAGTCTTCTCTCGCTCGCAAGAAGCGCGCCGTGCAGCAGGCCCTCTCGCGTGAAAAGCAGCTGGAGCGCACCCATGCTTTGTATTCAGACCTTTCGGTCCAGCCCGACGACACGAGTGCTGGGGTTGTGGGTACTTCTGGCTCTGGCCCCGTGTCTGCGCCTGAGGCTGAGGACCTCGAGGACCCTGAAGCGTGGGCTGGGTGTCATTTCGGTTTTTTGGACGAAGACGAGGTCGACCCATGGGCCGAGGAGGCCAACTTTAGTGACCCTGTCCGTCCTCCCCCGCTCCCTCCCTCGTCGGCCGCCGCGTCGGTCGCCTCTCCTGCGAACGCCAGCAATTGTTTGGGCGATGCTCCTATGAGTCTGGAGGGTCACTCTTCGCCAGCTGTTAGAGCCCCGTCAATTGATAATGTTGAGATCCCCCCCAGCAAGAGCCGGCCTCGTTTAAGTGAGGAGACCCCCGATCCCACTCCCTGCGGTGGAACTCCTCCCACTGCTCCGCCCTCTGCTGCTGGTGCGGTTGATTTTGCCTTACCTCATGTCCGTTGGCTTTCGGCTCGAGCCAATTCTGGCTTCCACTCACACTCCCTTGACGACGTTTGGAAACCCATCCTACAGTCGTTGTCATTCCGCGTTGGAGGCCAGTATGTGCTGGCGGTCAGCGGCGCCTTCTCGGCATGGATTACAGCAGTGGAGGAGATGCATCTGGACGAGCAAGTAGGAGCAGGCCCATCCAGGGCCAGAAGACCGACCATGTCAGTGCATCCAGTGCGGCAGTCGACTCACTTTCGGGACATGCCCTTCCAGGATGCCATCGCGAACTGGCGGGAGCGCATCTCGGTCGTTGTCGGCAAGGTCACCAAACATGTTAGGCGTGATAACGGAAAACCCCAAGTTCAAGTGCTGTGTGAAGCAGCTCGTAAGTTAGCAGGTCATTTCCCCGATGGTGTTCAGAATATGGTTGGCGCACGTAGGGATGCGACGTCATGGCCCCTGTGGTTGTCGGTGTTGCAGAGTCTCCATGAGATCCCTTTGGCGCAGCTTGAGTTGTTCACCAAAGAAGCCGCTCGTATTGCGTGCAGGGCTCGGTCTCGAGCACTTGCGGCGTCGTTGGCGGACTTCAAGCAGTGGATTCAGCAGAATGAGTTTACAGGAGGGCTCTTTCGAGCCACCAAGGAGCAGCCGAATAGGAGTCATAGTGTGGTCGTGAACGGTGAGACGGTATGCCATCCCAAGGATGTGGTGGAGCACCGTGCAGAGAAGTATCACAAGCTATGGACATCTCCTGATATGACATGCAGTCAGGCTGAGAAGTTATTTGAGACCATCCACGCGCGGGCCCGTGAAGAACCTTTGGAGCCTCTTTCTTTAGAAGACATTCGTCGTGCATTGAGGGCTATGAAGGCGCGTGCGGGGATGGGTTTGGATCGTTTATCCCCCATCGATCTCGAGAGGCTGCCAGATGCCGCGCTGACTGAATTGGCGCAACTATACAACATGTTTGAGGATTGTCAGACATGGCCGTGGCAGCTCATGGGGGTCGTGGGTAAGTTATTAGCCAAGAAGACCGTTGGCCAGTTCCGTGTCATAGGATTGATTTGCATGATTTGCAGGGTGTGGAGTCTGGCACGCGAACCAGTTGTACAAAGGTGGGCTGCCTCCTCGCAGCCCGACTGGGATGCTGCGGTGAAGGGCAACAGTGCCCTCCGCGAAGCGTATATGAAGGCGCTGAATGAAGAGCTGTACACCAAGCTCAAGATGGCCAACGGTCACGCATTGATGGATATTCAGAGTTATTATGACATGATGGAATGGGATGTTCTTATCAGGGGGGCCTTTCGGTATGGGTTCCCAGCAGTAATGTTAGGATTGGAACTTCAGATATGTGCGAGTCCGAGGATGTTAGATCAGGGCGACGCGGTGTCGCTCCCCTTCCAGGCCACTCGGAGCATCGTGCAGGGGCTCCGTAGTGGCACGCGCTTCGCGCGGTGTGTCACCAGCCTGGTCATGGAGCGCCTGACGGTCATGCATCCTGGGCTCTCGGAGCATTTGTGGATCGACGATCTTTCGCAGTCGGCAGTGGGATCTGGTGCTCATGTACGACAGGCGCTGATCGACGGCGTGACCTCGACCTCCGACCTCTTGGCAGATGTCAAGCTCACGCTGGCCAACAAGAGTACGGTGTCTTGCTCATCAATGGCGGATGCTCGTGCTGTGGTCAGGGCTCTGAAGAAGCGTGGCATCGAGATCCAATGTGCCAAGCAGATGGCCTACCTGGGGGTCGACCTCTCGCGTGGGCGTCGGCATGGTCGGGCAACCAGGCAGAAACGCATGCAGGACACGAAGAAGCAGCATCTCACCATCAAGAGGTTTGCGGCTTCATCTCGACGGTTTTGTATTTTGAAGAAGGTGGAGTTGGCGGGGCCCCAGGCAGGTGCTCGGCACGGCCACCAGGTGCTGGGCTTGCCGCGGGCCTCGCTGGTGCAGCTGCGCCGACGACTGGGCGGAGTTTCTGGTCATAGGCGCGGTCGTTGCCTCACGACGCTGCTCGACATTCGAGCGCCTGGAGCAGATCCAGGGTATGCTCTCCCTCGTCAATGTGTAGAGCAGTGGTTCAAGTGCTGGCTGGATTCCCCGCAGGTGAGACGCTCCGTGGACCTTGCGTGGCAGGATTTGGTGCAGCAGTTTACTTCCACCTTGCCGTCCAATCGGGCTCGCCACGTTCGGGGTCCACTGCCAGCTCTTGTTCACTATATGTTGGGAGCCGAGTGGGAGTTGCGATCCCCCACGGAGTGGTATCCCCCGACGGGCCCTGATGGACTCCAGCACGGATGGAACTTCGGCTCGCAGGCCTTCGAAGCGTTCGACCAGGCAGGCGAGCTGATCGATGCCTTTGCTGGCACCCTTCAGCAGCAGCTCTGGCTGGAGGCCTCCAAGGGCTTCTGCGGGGGCGGCATGGAGCGAGGGGTGGGCAACTTCTCGCTGCGGCGCTACCTCTTCCAGATGGAGCAGGTCCCAGAGCGCGGTCGGAAGTTGTCGGAACTCATGTTGTGTATTGCAGTGGGCGGGGCCTGGCCCGCAGCTCGCAAAAACTCGCAAGGGTATGATATCCCAGCAGAGTGCCGAAGGCGTAGGGGAGGCCCTGAGACACCCAAGCATAGGTTTTGGCAGTGCGAGTGTAATCGGGACTCCAGAGCCTTTGAAGCCTCAGAGGATCTCATTCCCCGTGCTCTGGCTGAGGCTGATAGTCTCGAATGCTATTGGCTTAGGGGGCTCATCCCGTCTCACACGCTTGAGGTCTCCCCGCCTCCCGACGAGGAGATCTGGATTAGCAGTCACCCCAATGAGGAGCTTGATGGTGAGTTTTTTGGTGTTGGCACTCCTGGCATGCCCCTACTCGTGTGGGGAGATGCGTCGGGGGGTGCTGACACCCATTATCCCAGGTTGCGTAGGATTGGGGTGGCTCTCGCCACGGCCCCTTCCGCCGACCCCTCGGCTCAGAGATTTGCGTATGGGCCCCTCCCTGGCAAGCATCAGACGGTGCCGAGGGGCGAGCTTTTCTGTTTTGTAGTGGCCGTCGAAAGATCTAGGGGGCCTTTGGCCTACATTACTGATAATGATCAGGTTTCAACTGGATTTTGGAGTAGGTGGTTTGAAGCTCCCCAGGGCCCCAATGCGGATCTCTGGAGGAGGCTGCGCGATGCCCTGCAAGTGTCGGACCGACACCCAGGCGATGTGTGCGTTCTCAAAGTTCCCTCTCATGTTGACGGTGCTGAGGTGGAGGCTAGAGGTCTCCCAGGCCATTTAATTGCTGGTAATGTGTTCGTTGACGCCCTTGCGGGCACTGCCGCCAAGCTGTTCAGTATCCCCGCTGATCAGCGTGCGAGAGTTCTCCGCATCGAGAGTGAAGTCCGTCTCATCCGTGAGAGGCTCTTGAGGGCCACGTTAGAGTCGTGTAAGTTGGACGGGAAAAAGGTCAGGCGCCCTGCTGCCCCTGCTGTTGCCCCTCCCCCTGCACCCTCAGTCGTCGCCTTTTTCCAATCGTCTCATGCTGTGGAGTCTTGTGGGAAAAAATGCTCGAGGTGTCATAGTAGCTGCTCGGAGGCGAGCAAGAAGATGTGGCTATCATCGGAATGTTTTTCCCTAATTCGGGCGACTGAGCACACTTTAAGGGTCCCTCACGGTCGGCGGTTACACCTCGCTGGGGGCTGGGTCCACCAGTCTCACCAGATGGTTTACCACGAGTCGTTGGCCCTGTGGTTCTGCCAGTCCTGTGGGAGGTATTTCTCTTGTAACCTCTGTGGGCTGGGCGAGTTGTGTTCGTCTCCCGACTCCCCTGTGACCAAGACGCGGCGAGCATACCTCGACCGCATCTCCAGGAACCTGTGGCCTAAAGTGCTCAGCAAGGCTGAGCAAGCGGCTCGGGGTCGGTCTTAATTAAGTTGAGGGGGGGCGGGGCCCCTAAGTGGGTGTGTGTGTGTGTGTCAGCGGCGAGCGGCGCGCCCGCGCGCGGCCGCCCGCGACATCGGCGGCTTCCTCACGCAGGACCGCCCACGCACCCGCGCCGCCCGTCCCCCCCTCGGTTTTTTCGGATTCGTTTCGCGATCGTTCTCATCTCATCTCATCTCCCCCTCCTCCTCCTCCTCCTCCTCCTCCTCCTCCTCCTCCTCCTCCTCCTCCTCCTCCTCCTCCTCCGCCTCCTCCTCCTCTACGCTAAAGCCAAAGTTCCTGACTGTACACGCCCTTGTTTTTTGATCATAACTCAGCTCTCCAGCGGCCGTTGGGGACGATTCGGGCTCTCTGGGGTGCGTTCTGACCAAGGATTCCGAGGCGAATCCAGCGGTGGCGACGAGGGCCTCCCAGGAGGCCGAAAAGGCGAAAACAGCCGAAGGGCAGCGGAATCAGTACCTTTGCCCCCTCTAAGGCTGAGGGCCTGGGCTAGATGGGCCCAAGTTCGTGGCCGTGTGTGCAGGTCTCGTCGCCCCGCCTCGCCGGGCGACCAGCACTGCCACAGCACAAGGGCCGCCCCGGCGCCCGCGCACGCGCCCGCGCAGAGCAGCAGGTCCCTCTGCGCGGCGGCCACGGAGGGCGAGGGGGTCTCGGAGGGGGAGGACGCCAGCCGCCTTGCACCGCGGCCTCCCAGGACGAGGAGGAGGAGGAGGAGGAGGAGGAGGAGGAGGAGGAGGAGGAGGAGGAGGAGGGGAGGAGGAGGAGGAGGAGGAGGAGGAGGAGGAGGAGGAGGAGGAGGGGGGAGTAGGACAAGCTAGGTGCGCTCGCGTCATATCTGACATCCTACCCCTCCCTCCCATCCCTTACCATGGCGTAGATCCCCTCTCTACTCGCACAGTCGGATGTCGAGCAGGGCAATGATCCCGAAAGGGTACGCGATGCATTGTAGAGCACGGCATGGCATGGCGTAGAAGAGCACCGCAAAGCGTAGTATGTCACAGCATGGCGTGGCGTGGCGTAGTGAAGAATTGCATCACAAAGCTTTGCAACGCAAAGCATGGCATCGCACAGCGGCCCCGAACATAACATTGCATAGCATGGCGTTGAAGATCAAAGCGTAGCATGGCATAGCACGACGTGGCACTTAAGCACTGCATATCACAGCTTCAGCTGAAGGCATGGCATCGCGCAGCGGAACGCAACCTAGCATTGCATTGCATGCCGTGGCATGGCACGGGAAATGACGCCAACGCTGCAGCGGGAGCACGATTCAGAACGAGCGGAAGCGCGGAAATGAGGCCAGCGCTGCAGCGGGAGCACGATTCGGAACGAGCGGAAGCACGGAAATGAGGCCAGCGCTGCAGCGGGAGCACGATTCGGAACGAGCGGGGCCGTGCGCCACAGAATGGCCGCTGCCGTGGCAGCCATCGGCGTCGGGGTGGGGGAATGCATGCACCCGCGGAGGGAGAGAAGGGCACCCACCAGGCGTGAATGTGTTGGGCGGCAGTCAGAGCAACTTGTGCAGGCCCTGGTGCTCTTTACGCAAGAGGGTCGTGGGCATGTCATGAAAATGCATCACATACGACAGGCACGATAATGCGCCCTGATCGTACTATCTACCATGCATGCTGTCAGGTGCAATGTGTTGCCCAAAAATCGCACGTGCGATGCTACAATTTGTTGCCCGGGAGGCGCCACGGGTCCTTTGAGTCCGCGCTGGGCATCAGGATGAGCCCCAGGATGGTGAACTGCATCCACGCAGGGACGAGGCGTTCCAAGTGCGGGAGCAGCTGAGCGCGCAGTTCCTCTGTGCAGGGAGCCCAGAGTGGAACCAGCGCGCATTTGCGCGGTGCTAGCGACAGCTGGGCGAGGCGGCATGCGTCCATGAACACTTGTGCAAGGTGTGGCAGGGCTCCGAGCGAGTGGAGAAGCAGCCCAAGGTCATCGGCACACGCTGTGAGAATGCCGACATCGCATATGCAACCACCAATGAGAGGGGCCCCCCTGCAGCATGCCTGAGCCCATGCTGAACAGGACGACTCCTTCGCCCGACGGCGTCCGCGCCAGGTCCGGCGGGCGCGCGTGGAGAGCCAGCAGGGCCGAGCGATACCCGATCGGGAGGCCGTACCGTTGAACGGTGCGTTGCATCCACCTTCGGCAGAGCGACGGTATGGCCTTCTGGAAATCGAACGAAACCAAAATAGGCCAGCGCTGAAGTGCCGCGACGTCCAGTCCCGTCGTCCGCGCGGTAGTGTCGAGGCAGGAAATGTGGTCAATGAAACTACGTCCAACGGTAAAGCCTTTTTGCGGCACCGCTGTGGAGGTCGCAATATGGTGCTTAGGCGCCGCGTTAATGCTGTCTGCGATTATATTGGGGTCTGTATGTTAAAGTGACAGTGTCCGCAGGTGGTCTGCGGAGCGCGTGTATGCCTTCAAAGTGTCAGCTTCATCGGTGCCTTTGGGGATCGGTGCGAAGAGCGAGTGGTTGAGGGCAGCCGGAGTGACCTCAGCACCAAAAGCAGCTATCGTGGACAACGGTGAGCGCGGCTGGGCAGCGAATCCAAGCCTTGTAGGGAATACCGTCGGGCCCTGGGGCCGAAGCAGCAGCGTGTTGTGCAAAGTGCCCCATCGCGCCATATGTGGGCACCTCCGCCGCGCAGGGCGGCATGCGAGGGACGTGCTTGTCGAGAAGTGCCCCGAGCGCAAGGCTTGGAAGGAGTGCTGGTGCTGCAGCTTGGGGCCCATTCTCGCTGAATGGCGCGCTGCATCTCTATGGCGGTGGTGGCCGCTCGCGCGCGCCCAGCGGCAGGGGGCGGGGCGGCGGGCACCTCGGCGGCGACGCGAGGGTGGCCGTGCGCAGAATCGCATCCGGCAGACAGCCAGACTCCGACAAGAGCCCGAGGCTGCGTCGCCACGGAGCCCAGAGCGGGGCGCGCGCCGAGCTGGCCTCCCCTCTCCACGAGGGCGGACGTCGCGGGGGTCGATCGAGGCGTGCCTCTTGCCGAAGCCAGCGCCTCTCGCCGACGGGCCTGCCAACAGGCGCGGGCCGTGGTGGTCTAGAGGGTGGCGAAGGCGGCCTCGTCTACGAGTTCGACCGCGCAGCCACAAACAGGCAACCAGGCAGGTGCTGCGCACCCAAAGCCGCGTGTGAGAGCCAGCGGTAAGCGGGCGGGCGATCCTGCCAGACCGCGCGTGCCATGGACTTGAGTTGGTGGTACGTGCTGGCCGTCGCGTCGCCAGGCGCGCGCAGCGCATCCCGCGCGTCCTCTCGGAGGACCATACCTGCGGCGAGGTGCATGCATCGCTTGGTACTGCGAAGACGCTGCGCGTCCGTGGCATTGGTGTGGTCGCTGTTGTCGACGAGCTGCTGGTGCAGCTCGGGGAGGCGAGGGTGGTCCAGCACACAGTGTGGCAGAGGTGGCAGATCAGAGCGGCTCGTCAGTAGAATCTTGGTTTGCAGGTGAGACGCGACGAGCGGGAAGTGCTGAGACTGTGAGCGCAAGCAAGCTATGATCGCTGATGCCGCGGTCCGACAGGGTGGTCGAATCGATAACCGTTGTCAGTGTGGTGCGGAGGTTAGGTAGGGCATGGGCGGGCCCCGTGGCGAACACTCGATCAATGAGCGTCTGTGTGGGTAGTCGCATCATACAAGGTGGGCCAAGTTCCGCAGACCTCGATCATTCGGCCGAGGAGAGTGCGCCGCCGGGCGGGCGCTGCGTTGGCACGGGTGTCCGAGTGCAGATGGATGGCTGTAGAGGTGCGGTGTGGCTTAGGGGAGGTCCGTCCGCGATGTTGAAACCGCCGAGAGCTATGAACGTGCGCGATACCGGCGCCGAGTCTGCCCAATCGCGGCTGGCCAGCCAGTGCCCTTTCAAATCAGCGAATGCTGTCCCATTGACTGCAAAAACTGTGAACATTGAGAACACGAATAGCGTGCTGGGGGGTCTGGGAGAGTACGGGCTAGGGAGCAATAACGGCCTGGGGTGAGGTCGAGGGTGTCGCGTAGGAGAGTGCATTGAGGCGCGGGGCATCAGGAGGGCCGCCCCGCCCACCGCGGGGGAGCCAAAAATCGGAGTGGCAGGTGGCGCAGGGCCCGGCCCTGGAAGAGTACGGAGGGCAGCCTTCAGAGCCTGCAGCTTCGCGTGGACCTCCTGCAGCAGGCCGATATACCGCTGAGTGAGAAAGGGACGAAGACGGTCCGCTTTGCGGTCGCGCAAGCGGCGATCGCTGGGAAGAAGGCCGCGGGCGTTCCGCGGGATCACCCGCAGCGCGGTGCTACTGGAGCCGTCCCCCCAAGGACTCCGTTTGCGAGCCGTGCTAAAGGCACCAATCGGAGGCGTCTGCGGAGGTGGGCTGTTCGTCGAGCGGGGCCTGGATGGCGACGCGATCGATGCCGACTCCGTGAGCGTGGCGGGCTTCCATTGCACTCGATGATGGTAGGGGCCTCGCGCGTGTCGCCCACGAACACGTGCGACCAGCTGGGCGTGGTTGTTGACCCCGCCGATTGCCATCTGCGACTTGAGTTCGCCGTGGTCGGGGTGGGTCCGCTCGAAGACGCGAGCCTGGCGTTGGCTTTGGATCTCCAGCCGGATCTGTCTGGGATTCCTGTCCCGGTTGATGTACATCGGTGTGGGGGGCCTCCGTCCACCGCGCATGGGCGTAGCGCAGTGCTGAGTCCAGGCACATCCTGGGAGTCGGAGCGCGCGCGAGTGAGTGCAGTGGCGCGGGCGCGGGCCACGGCATCGCCGTGGAGCACCCTGAGCAGGGACTTCTTGGCAGGGGTGTCGCCCGCTGAGGTGACCCACTCGGGTTGGGCGCTGGTGGCTCGAAGCCACGCGTCCAATCCAGCCAGGACAGCGTGGGGGGCGGCGATTTCTTGGAGGCCCACCCCCACCACGAAGAGCAATGGGCCGGGTGTACGGTTCCAATCGCCCATGTCGGCGAGGTCGACAACTGGGACCTGCACTTCGGCTTCTGAGACCGTTCGGCGGCGAGCGAGGGGGGGAAAGTGAGAAGGAGGAGGCCTTCTCAGAAGGCGGCGGGGCTTCTCAGAAGCCCCCCGTCCTTCTGAGAGGCGTTCTGTGTCTTCGGGGAAGGCTTGGAACAGTTCTCAGAAGGCCTGGGAACTTCCAAGCCCTCTGAGAAGGCCCGCCCCTTCTGACTTCCCCCCTGGGCTCGCCGCCGAACCGTGGTGGAGAGCCGCTCGACTGCGCGTCGGAGCTCGCGTTGCTCCTCCTCCAGGGCCCTGGTTCGGCGTTCCACCAGAGCGAGGCGGCGTTGGTGCCGCTCGATGTCGGCGTCAGCGTGCTGATGATAGGTGTGGACCATGGCCGTCAGCTGGGGCAGAGGCCATTTGGGCTTCCAGGAACTCGGACATGGATGAGGAGGAGGAGGAGGAGGACCAGTGCAAACCCAAGGCTCATCAACGATGTTGGAATAAGCCATCCCTCCAAGCTCCCTCTTCACAAGCCCCTACAAGGGTTCATTTCCACTGGGGGGAAGTGCCTCGTTGGAAGAAAACCGTTTGAAGACCCTGACGCATGCCAAAACATCGTTCCAACGGCACGGATCAACCTGACTATTGCGTCTTGACGGTCCTGAAACGTGCCAGAACGCCATTCCTGGGACTTCAACACCGCCAAACAACAGAACTGCTGCACTCTTATAATCCTGAATCTCTCCAAAACACCATGTCTGGCTGATCATGGGAATCCGTGAAACTCTTACAAATTTGTCAAACACATGTGCGCGGCGCTGAGGCGAGAACCACATTATGAAAAGAAACCGCCCTCAATCCGCGAAACTCTTGCAATAATTTAAAACGAATGTGCGCGGCGCAAAGGTTACACCACCCGCTTTCAATCCGTGAAGCTCTTGCTACTGGTTTAAACGAATGTGTGCGAGAGCCACACTTTGAAGCCAAAAACAAAGAAAAAAACAAAAACAAAAAAACGCCCTCAATCCGTGAAACCCTTGCGAATGTTTAAAACGAATGTGCGCGGCGCTAAAGCGAGAGCCACATGTTGAAAACGACCCGCCCTCAATCCGTGAAGCTCTTGCACATGTTTCAAACGAATATGCGCGGCGCTAAGGCGAGATCCACATTTTGAAAACGACCCGCCCTCAATCCGTGAAGCTCCTGCAGTTTGTTAGAACGAGTGTGCGCGGCGCTAAGGCGAGAGCCACATTTTGAAAACGGCCCGCCCTCCATGTGTGAAACTGTTATCAGTGTTTAAGCTTCAGGGTCATAAATGGTGAGGAAATCTCAGGCGAAACGCCCGAACCGCCCAAAAAACTGGCCTCGGGGTGCGACAGGGAGAAGTTATTGATAAGGAAAAGGAATGGAGGAGGACGAGGAGGAGGAGGAGGAAAAGGAGGAGGAGGAGGAGGAGAAAATAAAGAGGACGAGGACTAGGACGAGGACGAGGACGAGGACTAGGACGACGAGGACTAAGACGATGCACGACGCGGGCGAGGACGAGGACGCTTTCGTGCACACGAGAGGTGGCCCTACGGCACGCTCTCGTTGTGACGGCCCCGGCGTTGGCTTCTGGCACCGCGTAGATCGTTCAGCCTTGAACCATCGGCGGCTTCTCGATCGCCAGATCGATCCATGCTGGCCGACTCTGGGCCACCAGCGGCTTTTGGCCTCGAACGCCCGCGGCGGAGTCGCCGCCGCGACGGCACGACATGAAGCCACCGTGAATAGGCAAGAGTGACGGGAGCGCTCTGGAGCACATCCGAGGGC